GAGAGAGAGAGGGGAGAGAGAGAAAGAGAGAGAGAGATAAAGAAAGATGAAGGGAGGAGGCAGGAGAGGGGAGGGAGAAGGGAGGAGGGAGAGGAGGGAGAGGGGATAGGGCAGAGAGGCAGAAGGATGAGGGAAGAGAGGAGGGAGAGAGAAGGGAGGGAGAAGGGAGGAGAGGAGGGAGGAGGGAGGAGGGAAGAGGAGCAGAAAAGTAAGAGCGTGAACGTTCGAGGAAGTCATAGGCGAAAGCGCCGTTCCTGAAGAAAGTCTCGGGCGGGAGCCCACGACGGGCGGGCGATCCCCTGACGGGCGGGTCGGGCGGGTGGAAATTCAAGCGGGATGCCTGAGTATGGCGAGAGCGCGATTCCCAAGTAAATTGTAACGGCGTCCTTGGCGCAGCGTGTTTCCTGAGCGTCGAAAGCGCGATTTCAAATTTAAATCCATGGAAGTCAGAGGCGAGAACGCAATTCCTGTAGGGGTTCTCTGGCGGGAGCGGGGGTCTTGATTAAAGTGTGAGGAAGTCTTGACTCAATTGCAAGGAAGTCTCAAGCGGGAGCGCCGTTCCTGAGTAAATTGTGAAGAAGTCTCAGATGGAAGCGGGGGTCCTGACTAAGTTGCAAGGAAGTCACAAGCGGCAGCACCGATCCTGAGTAAATTGTGAGGAAGTCTCAGGCGGGAGCGGGGGTCCTGAGTACATTTGGAAGAAGTCACAAGCGGGAGCCGTTGTTGTTGTAATCCGGGAAGCCAGGGGCACAGTTTGAGCATCAAAACTTCCCCTGTCAAAAAACAGGCTGCGAGCATCGAGGGCACACATTGATTGAGAAAAAGCCATATGCACCAGTGAGGGGGGGTCAACACTAGTTATTCTTCAGAAATGAAAGTTCAGCAACAACAATAAAAACAAAGACAACAACACAAACAACAACAATAACAACAACAACAACAACAACAACAACAACCGCAACAATAACAACATCAACAACAACAACAACTACAACTACAACTACAACAACAACAACAACAACAGCAGCATCATCCTTATCATCATCAGCAGCATCAGCATCAGCATCAGCATCATCGTCGTCGTCATCGACATCATCCTCATCGTCGTCATGTCCGTGACATCACCACCGCGTTACGAACAGATGCACGTCCCACATCATGCTCACGCTCAATATCATCATCGCCATCACCACCATCAACACCGTCGTCATCGCAATTCAGACTATCACCATCACCATCATCATTACCATGTTCCAACCTCCTCCTCCTCCTCGTCCTCTTCCTCATCCTCCTCCTCCTCTTCCACCTCCTCATTATCCTCCTACACCTCGTCCTCCTCCTCCTCCTCCTCCTCCTCCTCCCACCTACTCCTCCCACCTACTCCGCCTCATCCTCCGCCTCCTCGTCTTCTTCCTCGTCCCCCGCCCCCTCCCTTGCTTCTGTGTTCGATGTGGGCATGTGTTCAGACAACCGTTGCAGAAATGCCCCGCGTATCCGTCGAGCGGGGCAGAGGTGGATGGCGCCTTCCCGATATCGCGACAACGAATGCGACCGCCTGGTGTACAAGCCAAGTGGATGCGGAAACAAGAATGGGCAACCACATGTGAACCCTACGGCAGCAGGACAGAATTCTGAAACGCTCGCTGGGGTTCAGAATTCGAAGGATGTCTGCAGCCAAGTGAATCCCAGCGGGGGTCCCCGACACCCTAGCAAGAGGAGGAAGGAGGAGGAGGCGCAACACCAACTGCACCATGCTGATGTCATGCTCCTCCTCCTCCTCCTCCTCCCTCCTCCTCCTCCTCCTCCTCCTCCTCCTCCACCTCCTTCTCCACCTCCCCCTCCTCCTCCTCCTCCTTCATACCTCTCCGTGTTCCTCCACGCTCCTCTCCCTCCCCAAGACGAAGCCAGGCCAGGGAATAAATCGGACCAGGACAAATCGAAGATCTCTGAGATCCAGCAGCTCTAGAGAACGTATCGGGCACCGCGTCCCTCACCGACCATTCCGGAACGCTCCGAGAGCTTCCAGAACGCACTGGAACGATACATCTCTGTCCCAGCCCCGCCCGACCGTCCTCCATCCCTCCCGACCCAAGACGAAGGCATGAGGATGAAGACAAATCGGGGATCTACTGACGCGGGTCAATGCAAATCCATGTCAGCAGGACTGTGCATGATCCTGTGAAGTCATGGAGGCTCCTGCAGGATCCTGCGCGCCAACCCGGGTCAGTGCACCCCTGGCCCTGCATGATCCTGCAAGATCTGGCGCTCTGGCAAGGTCCCATGTGCATTGACCCCTCCTCCTCCTCCTCCTCCTCCTCCTCCTGCTCCTGCTCCTCCTCCTCCTCCTCCTCCTCCTCCTCCTCCTCCTCCTCCTCCTCCTCCTCCTCCTCCTCCTCCTCCTCCTCCTCCTACCCCCGACCCTCCCGCCCCGAACGAGACCGGACCGAGACCGGGGAACCTCCGAGAGCCAGCGGGGCGGCTGGGGGGGGGACTGTGCGCACGGAGCGCGGCGGCCGCTGCGACAAGCGCGCTCCTGGAGCGCCCCAAGGATGCAGCGGCAAGCTCTGGAGCGACACGTCTCGGCCCTGGGCCTGCCTGGTTCGACGACGACGACGACGACGACGACGTCCTAAACCTACCTGAGTCGACGACGACGACGACGACGACGAGGACGCCTCAGGCCTGCCTGATTCGGCGACTGCGACGAAGACGACGACGTCCAGGCGTGTCTGATTCGACGACGACGACGACGACGACGACGTCCTAAGCCTGCCTGATTCGACGACGATGACAACGACGACGACGACGACGACGACGAGGACGCCCTGGGCCTGCCTGATTCGACGACGACGACGTCCTAGGCCTGCTGATCCTCAAAACGTGTGTTCAGAGGCCTCTCAAATGGGGTCCGTATGTATGGAGATCGGGCCACATCGGCGATGCATCTCGATGTGGAGCCCGGTTCTCTCCACGTCGACATCGCCGATGCATTGCCGACGTCGCCGACGCATCGCCAATGCATCGCCGATGCATCAGCGATGCGGCGCGATGCTTCGACCCTATCTTCGGCGGCAAGCGCGGGGGGGAAGTGAGAAGGGGCGGGCCTTCTCAGAAGGCTCGGAAGTCCGATGGCCTTCTGAGAAATTTCGAAGCCCTCCCCGAAGACACGGCAGAAATTTCTCAGAAGGCCATGGGGCTTCTGCAAAGCTCCGCCGCCTTCTGAGACGGCCTCCTGCTTCTCGTTTCCACCCCTCGCTCGCCGCCGAAGAGCGCTAGATCGGCGCTGCCTCATCGACTGCCAAGCGCTAATCTACGCGAATGGGTTCCAAAAATCTGGAACTGCCAGGGTGCACAAGGCTCCCAAGGTGGATCGGATCGGACCGGCTGCCCACGAGGAAGGAGCCATGCCCCCGACTGCCGGGCGAGCGCCAGGTCCCGCTGGGCCCCTCGCTCGCCGCCGACATGGCTGCTCGGAGCCCAGCGCGCGGTGTCCACAAAAGGCCTCTGCAATGCGACGCAGGCGGTGCATGCAGAGAGGGCCAACACAGACTGCGCGCCTGTCGTCGAAGTGCCGAAGAAGACAAGCACACACACACACACACACACACACTCTCACTGGGCGGGAACTGCTCGGTCGCGAGCGACCGTGGGAAGTGAGAAGGAGAAGGCCTTCTCGGAAAGCGGCGGCGCTTCTGTGAAGTTTCCCGCGTCTTCGGGAAAAGCTTTTAGAGAACATCTCTGAAGGCCAGAGAGCTTCCGAGCCCTCTGAGAAGGCCTCCTCCTTCTCACTTCCCCTCCTCGCTCGCCACCGAACTGGGGCACGCGATTCTTCGCGCCAGGCCCGTTTGGTTTTGGGAAGGAAACGCCATCGACAACGACGACGAACATAACGACAACAACAACGACAACAACAACAACAACAATCATTTTACCCGAACGCTCAGTGTTCTCCCCAGTGCCAGGGTTTTCATGCGACGCCAGCCAATACCCCCACTTCGTGGGGGGGCAATGCAAGCTCTACCAAACATCCACACGACTCTCGGGAACCACCCACACCCAGCTTCCCGCCCTATGACGTCAGGACACTTCACTTCGTGGCGCGCGGACGATCGTGGATACTACACTGGCGCGGAGTACACACCCGCAGAGGTTGATCACTTGTTTGGGCCCCGCATGTGCCCCGCATGGTGAGCCACTTCTGGCATACCCTGGCGTTAGCAGATACAGATAAATGTCCAAGGAGCCACTGCTTCAAGACGGCCCCGTCAGTGGTCCCCTCGAGCATGTCTTTGCGAATACGTTCTCCATACCAGCTCTCCAGATGGCCAGCGTTCTGCACTTGGACAAGCGTGTCTTTCGATGAATACTGCAGTAGCCACGCCGTTGCGACCCTATCTGGCACATACAGTGGTGGATCCAACTGTCGGAGCGCCCGGCATAATTTGTAAGCGGTATTATACTCGATGCCCAGGTGGCGGATGGCAGACCCGTGCTGCTCCTCCAGCTCCTTGGCGCTAGAAATACTGACCTTGCCAGTCACAACCCGATACTTGGCCCACCAAGTCTTGCACGCCTGGTGACTGGCATTGATACCCTTTGCCGCGAGCGCCTGATGCAAATAATACGCACTCTCGCAGTCGGCCAAGGGAGGCCGGGACAGCTCTGCGCCATACTGCTCGTGAAGGTCTTTCGCCGTCAAAGCCATGATCCAAGAACACAGGCGATACCTTGATCCGAGATGGCTACGGATATGAGCGTGAGAGGAAGGGGGGAAGCCTCCTGGGGCCGCTGGGGGTCCTCTTGGGGAAGGGGGGAAGCCTCCTGGCGCCGCATGGGGTCCTCTTGAGAGGCTTTGGGGGGCTTCTTGAAAGCATGTTGGGGCCTCTTGTGGGCTTATTGGATCCTCCCGGAGGACTCTTGGAGCCGCTTGGACGCCTCCTGGGGCCATCTTGGGGGCCTCTTGGAGCCAACTTGGAGCCTCTTTGGAACCTCTTGGGGGCCTCTTGGAGTCCTCTTGGGGCCTCTTGGGACCATCTTGGGCGCCTCTTGCGGCCTCATGGGCGCCTCTTGGGGCCATCTTGAGCGCCTCTTGGGGCCATCTTGGGTTTTAAAGATTCATGAAGAGCCCGCGGGTGGATTTTGATATTTTTCGGATGAGAAAGTCTTGCGTTTGCATATGTTTTCGGAACATCGCATCTTGAAATTATTGAAATCACATTATGTTTGGCAGGATTTCGGCACGCGCGCGCGGCGGCCGCGCGCATGTGCACTTCGTGTCATTTTTTGCAAGGGATGGTGGCCCTCGTAGGCTCGCAACCGTTGTTGCAGAAGGTCGAAGCACCTGAAAAGGTTCCTCGCAAAGGCCCTTTTAACAGAAATGTTTAAAATCTGGTGGGTTTCCTAGGAATCCGCAAGAGCGCGCGGAAGGACATTTTGACAATTTTTTCTGAGAAAACCATTGGGTTTTTGATGTTTTTATGTTAAAATCGCTACGAAACCTAAGGTTTTGGAAGGATTTCGTCTTGCGCGCACGAATGTCCACTTTACCTTATTTTTTGCAAGGGATTCTTGCAATTTGATCAAGTAAAAACAAGAATTTTCATTTTCTATTGTTTTTTGCAAGGGAAAACGAGCGTCAACAAAAAACCGGATCCGGAGCTCATCCACTTTTCTGAAGCTTTCGCGAAAAAATGATGAAAATGTAGCTGCGGCCTAGGCGCGGCGCAGAGGTCGCGCACCAGGGGTCCCAACAATAATAATTCTTTAGAAGGAATAATGTTCAACAACAACAATCACTTTACCCGAACGCTCAGTGTTCTCACCAGTGCCAGGGTTTTCATGCGACGCCAGCCAATACCCCCACTTTGTGGGGGGGCAGTGCAAGCTCTACCAAATATCCACACGACTCTTCGCCACCACCCACACCCAGCTTCCCGCCCTATGACGTTCGGACACTTCACTTCGTGGCCTGCGGACGACCGTGGCTACTACACTGGCGTGGAGTACACACCCACAGAAGTTGTTAAGCCTACGTTCGTACACCCACAGAAGTTGTTAAGCCTTGTTAACCCACAGAAGTTGTTAAGCCTTCCACAGAACATCTGTTGCATATGATGCATATGGTACATGATACACATGATACACATGATACGTACTCACAAGATAGTTGATCACAGAAGCCCAATGGTTTTTGGAGATTTCGGCGTGCGCGCGCGAAGAAAAAACGAATGTGTCCCGCATGGTATTATTTGACAGGGATGATGGCCCTGGCAGGTGCGCAACCGTTGTCGCAGAAGTTCGAAAAAGTTGCTCGCAAAAGCCCGTTTGACAGAAATGTTTAAAAAGTGTTGGGTTTCCTACGAATCCGCAAGAGCGCGCGGGATGAGATTTTGACAATTTTTTGTTGAAAAACCATTGGTTTTTTGATGACAACAACAACAACAACAACAACAACAACAACAACAACAACAACAACAACAACAACAACAACAATCAGTTTAAGACTGTTCGCCCTTATCTGCTCGAGTGTCCAATAACGCCTATTTCCCAAACCCTCGATACCCGCCCTCTTCGTCTTCGATCGAACCCCTTTTGGGGGGTATACCTTTCTTCCCTGCAGGCCGGGCCCCGGCAAGCGGCGGGGCGGCCGCGGACCGTCGGCCTGGCCAGCGGCAGCGCTGATCGGCGGGGCGGCCGCGGACCGTCGACCCGACCCCAAGAGAGACGGACAGGGGACCGACCACGACGACGACGACGACGTCGACGACGACGGCGACGACGACGACGACGACGGCGACGACGACGACGACGACGACGAGCGAAAGCGAGAGCGAAAGAGAACGACAGCAGGGCCAAAAGGACACGAAGTAGGCCACGAAGGGCAACAGCGGGGACACGAAGAGAATGCGTATGGGGCCACGAAGAGCGCGAACGAGCGAGGGCCACGAAGGGCAGATAATGCGGGGCCACAGAAGGCAACGATGGGGCCACTGAGGGTAGCAACTGGGCCACGTACGACAGAAGCATATGGGGCCACCACGGGCACGAACGAGCGGGGGCCACGAAGGGCATACATATATGGGGCCACGACGGGGAGCGAGGGGGCCACGAAGGGCTGCAACGGGGCCACGACGGGGAGCGAGGGGGCCACGAAGGGCTGCAACGGGGCCACGGAGGGCTGCGACGGGGCCACGAAGGGCAGCAAGGGGGCCACGAAGGGCTGCAACGGGGCCACGAAACAAAGCGAGGGGGCCACGAAGGACTGCAACGGGGCCACGAAGGGCAGCGAGGAGGCCACGAGGGGTTGCAACGGGGCCACGAAGGGCAGCGAGGAGGCCACCAGGGGCTGAAACGGGGCCACGAAGGGCAACAAGTGGACCACGAAGGGCTGCAACGGGGCCACGAAACAAAGCGAAGGGGCCACGAAGGGCTGCAACAGGGCCACGAAGGGCAGCGAGATCCCGATTCCTATGTAATCTGTGAGGGAGTCGTAAGCGTGAGCGCCACTCCTGGGTGCCTGGGTGTCGGGAGCGCGGCGCTTGAGTAAATTATCGGAAATTCCAACGCAAGGGCGCTATTTTTAAGTAAATTGCAAGCAAGTCTCCAGCGAGAGCGCGACTCCAGAGCGCCGGGAGAATAAAGCCTAAGGAAGTCCCAAGCGAGAGCGCGATTCCTGAATAAAACGCGAGGAAGTCTCGGGCGGGAGCGGGGGTCCTGGCTAAATTGTGAGGAAGTCTCAGGCGGGAGCCGTTGTTGTTGTAAACCGGGGGCCAACGACACAGTTTTACCCTCAAGACTTTCTCTGATAAAAACAGGGTGCGAGCCCCGGGAAGGGCACTTCAATAGAAAAAACAGTGTGCACCGGACGGGGGGGTCATCAATAATAATTCTTCAGAAATGAGAGTTCAACAACAACAACAACAACAACAGCAGCAACAACAGCAACAACAACAGCAACAACAACAACAGCAACAACAACAACAACAACAACGACGACGACGACGACGACGACGACCACAACAACAACAACCACAACAACAACAACAACAACAACAACAACAACAACAACAACAACGACAACGACAACGACAACGACAACGACAACGACGACGACGACGACGACCAGCAAAACGACGACGACGACGACGAAGACGAGGCGCCGCGCCTCGAGGTCCTTGAAGCGGTCTCCGAGGAAGTCGGCGGTCTTGCCGTTGATGGCCCCCTCGCCGAAGAAGGAGAAGTGGCCCACCTTCGGCGGCGAGGACCCCTCGACTGAAGCACGCTCGATCGGGCTGGGTGCACCCAAAACACGTAGATTGTCTGATATCGTACAGTTGAGTCTTTGATTGGGTGGGAGGGCCACGAGCATGAGCCTGAAGGCTGTGGGAGCTCCAGTCGATGGCAAGGCCAGCCTGCAGCGCATGTTGCAATCACAAATAGCACTCATCACTAACCCATCCCTGAGCTCAAAAGAACTGCAACGCAGCAATGCATAGCTCCAGCGTGGTATTTGTGAACACCCGATTTCGTGATGACAGGGTAGCAGCAGGAGAATAAAGAGGAGGAGGAGGAGAAGGAGGAGGTGGGCGACGACAAAACGACGACGATGGTGACGACGACGACGACGACGACGACGACGACGACTACAACGACGACGACGAGGTCGAGGAGAGGAGGTTTCCAGGGGGGTCCCAAATTTTCTCGGGGCTGAACCTCCGAGTTCTGGGCGCTTGCGTGGCTTCCCGCGTGTTGATGCGTGTTCCCGCGTGAATTGTTGAAAAGGAAAAGGCCCTGAAACGGGCCAGGAGGGCGCCAAGAAGCCCCCAAGAGGGTCCAAGAGGCCTCCGAGAGGGCCCAAGATCGCTTCAAGATTTCCAAGATGGCCTGAAGGCAACCCAAGACGCCCCGAGAGAACTCCAAGAACACCGTATCCTCTGATGTTTGAAAAGATGCTAACGTCACCGCCTTTCCGAGCTCACGACGCTTCAACCCAAGCCGGCCAGGAAACAGCCCAAGAGGCCCCCCAGACGGCCCCAAGGGGGAACTCGAAACGATGTTTCGAGCCCTCCGCCCCAAGATGGCCCAGAAAAAACCAGCAGGCCCTAAATAGGCCCCCAGGAAACCCCAGGAGGCCTCTAAGAGGCCCAATTTCAGGCCCCAAGATGCCTCCAAAAGGCCCCGAGACACCTCCAAAACCGACTCCAAGAGGCTTCCGAGAGGCCTCCCAAAAGATCACCAGGGATCCACGAGCCCTCTGACCTACAACCCAGGCACGGTGGCGGGATGGGCGGAAGCCCACTAGAGATCGGAAATCAACTGGATTACTGGATTCGGCAAGGAAGGGATGAGGCGGTGGAGGATGAGGGTAAACGAGAGCGCGTTTCACTGCCGCTTGCTTGAGAAATATCCCGCGACACGTCGGTACTGGGGGGGTCCCACACACACACACACACACACACACACACCGCGCCAGGAAAAACCGAGGGGGGGGTCCCTCCCCTTCCACTCGGGGGTGCGAAGGGAGAGGGGGAGAAGGAGAGAAGCAGGAGAAAAAGAGGAGGAGGAGGAGAAAGAGAAAGGAAGAGAAGAAGGAGGCTGAGCGGAGAGAAGGAGGAGGGGTTCCTCGGACGAGAGCTGTGGGCTGCAGGGCCCGCCTTGCAGAAGAACTTGTCCCAGCCCTTCTTCTGCACGTCCTCTTTCGGCGGCCATCGACGGAGGCGACTGCGCGGCGGCCGCCTCCCAAGGCCCCAGGCACGGCATGACAAGGTTATGTGAATGTGTACGCTTGACGTGTGTGTGCGCGTTCGCATGGCTACATCAACGTGTACACACTACCGTCTAGGCACATGTATGTGCGCGCGTGCGCCTGCCATCCATAGTTATGTGTGCCTATGGGCGTGTGTGTGTGATTGCATGCGGACACGTATAGTTTATATGTGTGCGTGCATGCGTAAACGCATATATAACACGCATTTATGTGCACATGATGCATGTATATGCAAGTGTACTTACTATCACAGCGCGCGCGTTGCGCGCTAATGTTCGAACTAAGGCAAAGTTAGCACCATATCGATCAGCGGAGGGGTACGCACGCCATCCCACCACGATCACCGGGTGGGAACACCTGCGCCATCGCAAGCGTATAGATATATGTACGTATATAGAATACATATGTATGTACATGTGCATCTATATATGTATATATGGATTGGCACCCCGCCTATTTGGGCACATCCTTCACACGGATCATGCCCTCAGGGAACTCCACCAACGTCCCCTCACCCATCTCGGCACAGACCTCACAGGGATCGTCCCCCAAAAGGCCCTAACAGAGGCCCCCGGGAAGCCCCAAGAGGCCCCCAAGAGGCTGTCCCAAAGAAGATCCCAAACGGCCCCAAAACTGCCACCCTTCTCCTCCGACCATCCTCCTCATAATCGAAGACATCATCATCATCATCATCATCATCATCATCAGCATCATCATCATCAGAGTCAGCATTATCGTCACCAACACTGCCATGATCATCAGCATTACATCATCATCAGCATCATCAGCATCACCATCATCACCATCATCATCATCGTCATCAGCATCATCATCATCACAGTCAGCATCATCGTCACCAACACCATCATCATCATCATCATCATCAGAATCAGCATCATCATCAGCATCAGCATAATCATCATCATTAGCATCATCGTCGCCATCGGCATCGGCATCAGCATCAGCATCAGCATCATGATCATCAGAATCAGCATCATCATATTCATCATCAGCAGCAGCAGCAACAGCAGCATCAGCATCCTAACCCTCGTCATCGACATCCCCACCATCATCATCCTCACCATCCGAACACCTCGTCGTCGTTCATCGTCAATGCCACACTAGTCACCACCCGCATCATTATCATCGTCGTCATCATCACCTGCATCATTATCTGCATCATCGTTGTCGCCATTGTCATCGTCATCGTCGTCGTCATCGTCATCATCAGCATCAGCATCAGCACCATTATCATCAGAATCATCAGCAGCAGCAGCAGCGTCAGCATCATCAGCAGCATCATGATCACTATCAGCAGCAGCAGCAGCATCATCACCATCATCATCTTAATATGTAGTCACACCATCACCGTGAATATCAACAGCTGCATCATCAACGTCGTCGTCATCACCGTCGTCGCTATCGTCGTCAGCAGCATCATATCTATCACCGCCCTTTGTCACCACATCAAATTTCCTCACAGCCGTCCCCCTTCCCCGACTCCGAGCAACGCCTCTGGCCCATCCTCTTCCCCATCCAACCCCGATCATCGCTGTCCAGAACCAAGCAGAGTCGAATCGGGAAATCTGATCGAATCGATATGTGATTGGGATCTGGCTGCATCGGCACAGGAACCGAGTCTATTCGAATCGGCCGCGCACGGATAGTTGGGATATCGGATCTGAATCAGATCGAGCCGAGCGCTGTCGACGCCGGATCGGATCGATTGGATCGAAGTGGACCCTACTGTTCTGCGCACGCTCGCGCTGCTGCCGCCGCCGCTGCCGGTGCATGTCGTCCCCATCCTGCTCCAAACCCTCCTCCTCCTCCTCCTCCATCCATGTTCCAAATGGATAAGTCCTCCTCGTCTGACAAACAGACGTGTCGGTACGGCGGGACGGGCGACGGGCGCATCGCCTGAGACATCCTCCTTGATATGGTCGCGACCTGAGCGTTCCCAACAGTTGCACAGATGGAGGGTGGGGGGTTTCAGAATGTAGCTATCGCTGTAGCACAGCGCACACTCGTCTTGAAAAGCTTCCAACAGTTACACGGATGGAGAGGGGGTCATTTTCAAAATAAATTTGGCCTCTCGCCTCAGCGCCATGGAACATTCGTTCGACAGAACTTCCAAAAATACAGGTGGAGAAAGGTAGTTTTCGAAATGTAGTTCTCGTCCTGGCGCCGTGCACATGCGTCTTCAAAGCTTCCAGCACGTACACTGATAAAGGGCAGCCCTTTTTCAAAACTAACCTTGGCTGGAGACCCGCATAATCCTTGTGAGGAGAAACCCAACACTGTGCAACAGCTATACGAATGCAGGCCGGCTTCTTTTCGAAGCGGGGCTCGCTCTTGAGACATCGTTGGGTCTGTAACCAGACGTTCAAAATATGGAACCACTGCAGGGGTTGAGGGCGGCTCGGCTTCAAAGCGGGGCTCCCGCTAAGCACTTCCTCGGAAAGTATGATCACGCCTCGACGCCGTCCACATGGCAAGAAGCATAGGTGGCGACTCCTGTTCGAAGCGGGCTTGTCGCCTGAATTACAGGACCATGGAACACTCATCTATCAAGCGGGCACGCCCAGCAGTGAAAGGAATTCTTGTTGGGGCTTCTGGGGCTTATGATGATGGGACTTAGGACGGGTGGGTAGATTCCATCGTCGCTTATAAATATTTCTCTGGTGTTCCTCCTCCTCCTCCTCCTCCTCCTCCTCCTCCTCCTCCTCCTCCTCCTCCCCCTGCCCTCCTCCTCCTCCTCCTCCCCTCCTCCTCCTCCTCCTCCTCCTCCTCCTCCTCCTCCTCCTCCTCTTCCTCCTCCTCCTCCTCCTCGGGCGTGGCGGTGCTCCTCGGCCTGCCCGCGCTGTCGTGCAGGGGGAACAAGTTGCACGCGTGAGCCTGGCTCTTGCACAAAGGAGCTGCGAAGGACTGGAGGCCCGGCCCAGGGGGGCTGCCCTGGGAAGCCTGGACGGAGGGGGAGTCTCAAGTAGGCGACGAGCCCAGGGGGGAAATGAGAAGGAGAAGGCCTTCTCAGAAGGCCGCGGGACTTCTCAGAAATCCGGGGGACTTCTGAGAGGTCTCCTTAGCCTATTTCGAATACAGACTGGACTTCTCAGAAGCCCTCTCAGAAGTCCGGAAACTTCTCAGAAGCCTCGGAAGTCCCGCCCCTTCTCATTTCCCCCCCGCGCCCGCCGCTGATCAAGGGGGGGTGGCCCAGGGGAGCTGGGGCTCAGGCTCAGGGGAAGGGCCGAGGGGGACGAACCACCACGAACCACAAACCACGACGAAAATATAAAGATGTCCGAGCTCTAGAGCACAGCTGTCCAAGAGAATGAGGGGTTCCGCGGCCCAGGGGGGTTGCCCTGGGAAGCCTGGACGGAGCAAGCCTTCGAAGGGTGGGTGGCCCAAGGGAGCTGGGGCTCAGGCTCAGGGGAGGGGCCGAAGGGGACGAACCACCACAAACCACGAACCGCGACGAAAATAAGGATGTGCGCGCCCAGGGGGGCTGTCCTGGGAAGCCTGGACGGAGCAAGCCTCCGAAGGGTGGGTGGCCCAGGGGAGCTGGGGCTCAGGCTCAGGGGAGGGGCCGAAGGAGACGAACCACCACGAACCACAAACCACGACGAAAAAAAAGATGTCCGGCCCAGGGGGGCTGTCCTGGGAAGCCTGGACGGAGCAAGGCTCCGAAGGGGGGGTGGCCCAGGGGAGCTGGGGCTCAGGCTCAGGGGAGGGGCCGAGGGGGGCGAACCACGACGATCCACGAACCACGACGAAAATAAGGATGTCCGCGGCCCAGGGGGGCTGTCCTGGGAAGCCTGGACGGAGCAAGCCTCCGAAGGGTGGGTGGTCCAGCGGAGCTGGGGCTCAGGCTCAGGGGAGGGGCCGAGGGGGACGAACCACCAGGGACCACGAACCACAACGAAAAATAAAGATGTCCGAGCTCTAGAGCACAGCTGTGCAAGAGAATAAACGTTGGTACCGATACCGCTAGGCCCCGGACCTCTCCTGGCGTGAGCTCTGACCACGTTTCCGAGGCGAATCCCATCTGTGGCGACGTGTCTGACTACCTACCAAACCACCCCAACCCAACCACCCGAAGACCCGAATTTCGGGTCGGGGAGGTACACGAGCTTCAGATGTGTTTTCAATGCTCCCCCGCCCCCCTGGAAATGGAGGGTAAATCGGGGCCTTCGGGTTGGGGTGTTCTGGTGGGCGGTGAGTGCCTCCCAGGCGGCACAGGGAGGCGCAATAGGACGGGAAGAATCTCGTGATAAGATTGGCTCAGGAGACGTGCCAGGAGTTCCAGCGTGTCCAGCGGCCCTCGTTCCTGCAGCCCGTGTGAACCATTGGGGAATCTGGGAAATCCTGGAAACCCTGGAAACCCTGGAAATCCTGGAACGTATCAGTATGATGCCCTCTTGCTCCTCTGACGCAAGGGCGACGGTTATTGGTACAACCCCCCGCCCCCATGAGCCGTTCCCCCCGGAACGCTGCCGCCGATCCCTTCTGCTCCCGAGGGTCCTTCAGACACTGCTTCGGATCGAAGCCGTCTGTGTACACGACGGTGGGGATCATGGGGATACCCGCCTCGCCGGCGCCGGTGTGCCGGAGAGTCTCGCTTCTTGAGTCAAATGAAATGAATTCTGGAATTCAGAAAAACTGCCTCCCTTGAACTACGAGAGAGGGCTTCTTGAAAGCATCAGATCGGCTTCTTGAATTCGACCAGCAAGGAACTGCCCCTTGACCTTAAAAAACAGCTTTCGAATGAAGAAGCCAGAGATTTCTGGATTCAAGAAACCTGCGGCAGCAGCCCCCAGGAGCGGGAGCAGGGCAGCGGAAGCTGGAGGCGCGACCGGAAGCGGAGGGCGGCGGGCGCGGGAGCAAGAACACCAGGACTGCGCCTCGATTGGCGCACCAGTCCAAAGGGGCCCAGGGACACAGACGAATATACACGAATCCCTAGATTCCCCATGTGCTTCTGTCTTTCGCCCCACTTCCAAACCTTCCCGCACTTTCCTGGGAATCGACGATGATTTCGTCTGTGAGCTATGTCCCTCCTGACAGTCCCTCTGCCGGCGTGGGCAACGATTGCAGCCGACGTCAGAGCGGTCGCGTGCGACATCGACCTCCGAAGGGCCCGACATCCGCTGTCTCGAGGGGGCGATCCCCCCGCGAAGGCCCCCCCTGTGCACGCTATCCCCCCTGCCAGGGCCTCCTCGGTGCGTGTCACACGCGGG